GGCAGTTCCTTGCCATGAACCAAACGCAAACATTCCGGTACCGGTCCATTAAGCAAAACAAAGCGTTCTGTACCAGTCCATCCATTAAGCAGAAAAACCTTAAAAGTGTAAAGAAAATGTTCTTCAATCATTGTGAGTGCCACTTTTTGGCAAAAACCCCCACATTTTATTGACGGTCCCCCAACAGCCAAACGCAAACATTCCGCTACCGTCCATTAAGCAAAACAAAAGGTTCTGTTACCGGCTCAGTAAACAAAACAAAACAACATTAAGAACCATGAGTTCTAACTTTTTGCAATCAACAGATCCTTCCACTGGCAACGTTACTTTGTCAGGCTTGGAACCATGAGGTTCAAGCTGTGGGAACCCGCAGTTCCTTACAATGATAGCCGCTTAGCTTCAAAAACATAAATCCTAACTTCTGGGAACAGGCAATTCCTTGCAATGGTAACCTCTGGTTCCCAGGTTGGGAACCCAAAGTTTCAAGGTCTGGGAACCGGCAGTGCCTTTCCATGGTAACTTTGGTTCCCACGTTGGGAAAAATGGAAAAATCAGTTCCAACCTTTAGGAATTGGAAGTTCTTTGCAATGGTAACCTATGGTTCCCAGGTTGGGAAGCATGAGTTCCAACCTCTGGGAACCGGCAGTTGCTTGCAATGGTAACCTCTGGTTCCCAGGTTGGGAACCATGACTTCTAACCTGTGGGAACCGGCAGTTCCTTGCAATGATAACCTGTGGTTCCACTTGGCAAACGTGGGTTTCCAACTTTGGGAAACCGGCAGTTCCTTGACCATGAAACCAAACCGCAAACATTACGGTACCGGTTGCCTTAAGCAAAACAGAGTTCTGCTACCGGTCCAGTAAGCAAAACCATAAAATTGTAAAGAAAATGTTTTCATATCATTTCACGTGCCACTGTTTGTTTTTGCACAAAACATTTTTAGCAGGCACCAAAAGCCCCCCCCCAAACGCAACCATTTCGCTACCCGTCCATTAAGCAAAACAAAAGGTTCTGTTACCGGCTCAGTAAACAAAACAAAACAACATTAAGAACCATGAGTTCTAACTTTTTGCAATCAACAGATCCTTCCACTGGTAACGTTACTTTGTCAGGCTTGGAACCATGAGGTTCAAGCTGTGGGAACCCGCAGTTCCTTACAATGATAGCCGCTTAGCTTCAAAAACATAAATCCTAACTTCTGGGAACAGGCAATTCCTTGCAATGGTAACCTCTGGTTCCCAGGTTGGGAACCCTAAGTTTCAAGGTCTGGGAACCGGCAGTGCCTTTCCATGGTAACCTTTGGTTCCCACGTTGGGAAAAATGGAAAAATCAGTTCCAACCTTTAGGAATTGGAAGTTCTTTGCAATGGTAACCTATGGTTCCCAAGTTGGGAAGCACGAGTTCCAACCCCTGGGAACCGGCAGTTGCTTGCAAAGGTAACCCATGGTTCCCAGGTTGGGAACCAGGAGTCCAAACCTCTGGGAACCGGCAGTTCCTTGCAATGGTAACCTGTGGTTCCCACGTTGGCAACCGTGAGTTCCAACCTTTGGGAACCGGCAGTTCCTTGCCATGAACCAAACGCAAACATTCCGGTACCGGTCCATTAATCAAAACAAAGCGTTCTTTACCGGTCGATTAAGCGAAACCATAAAAAAAGAAACTGTTTTCATATCATTTTGACATGCACCTTTTTCGTGCAAAAACATTTTTATGCCGGCCCAGCAGCCAAACGCAAACATTCCGCTACCGGTCCATTAAGCAAACAAAAGGTTCTGTTACCGGCTCAGTAAATAAAACAAAACAACATTAAGCACCACGAGTTCTAACTTTTTGGAATCAACAGATCCTTCCACTTTCAGGTTTGGAACCATGAGTTTCAAGCTTTCGGAACCCGCAGTTCCTTACAATGATAGCCGCTTAGCTTCGAAAACATAAATTCTAACTTCTGGGAACCGGCAATTCCTTGCAATGGTAACCTCTGGTTCCCAGGTTGGGAACCGCAAGTTTCAACGTCTGGGAACCGGCAGTTCCTTGCCATGGTAACCTTTGGTTCCCACGTTGGGAACCATGAGTTCCAACCTTTAGGAACTGGAAGTTCTTTGCAATGGTAACCTGTGGTTCCCAGGTTGGGAAGCATGAGTTCCAACCTCTGGTAACCGGCAGTTGCTTGCAATGGTAACCTCTGCTTCCCAGGTTGGGAACCATGACTTCTAACCTGTGGGAACCGGCAGTTCCTTGCAATGGTAACCTGTGGTTCCCACGTTGGCAACCGTGAGTTCCAACCTTTGGGAACCAGCAGTTCCTTGCCATGAACCAAACGCAAACATTCCGGTACCGGTCCATTAAGCAAAACAAAGCGTTCTGTACCGGTCCATTAAGCAAAACCATAAAATTGTAAAGAAAATGTTTTCATATCATTTTAACATGCACCTTTTTCGTGCAAAAACATTTTTATGCCGGCCCAGCAGCCGAACGCAAACATTCCGCTACCGGTCCATTAAGCAAAACAAAAGGTTCTGTTACCGGCTCAGTAAACAAAACAAAACAAAGCAACATTAAGAACCATGAGGTCTAACTTTTTGCAATCAACAGATCCTTCCACTGGTAACGTATGCTTTTTCAGGCTTGGAACCATGAGTTTCAAACTTTGGGAATCCGCAGTTCCTTACAATGATAGCTGCTTAGCTTCGAAAACATAAATTCTAACTTCTGGGAACCGGCAATTCCTTGCAATGGTAACCTCTGGTTCCCAGGTTGGGAACCGTAAGTTTCAACGTCTGGGAACCGGCAGTTCCTTGCCATGGTAACCTTGGGTTCCCACGTTGGGAACCATCAGTTCTAACCTTTAGGAACTGGAAGTTCTTTGCAATGGTAAACTATGTTTCCCAGGTTGGGAAGCATGAGTTCCAACCTCTGGTAACCGGCAGTTGCTTGCAATGGTAACCTCTGGTTCCCAGGTTGGGAACCAGGAGTTCCAACCTGTGGGAACCGGCAGTTCCTTGCAATGGTAACCTGTGGTTCCCACGTTGGCAACCGTGAGTTCCAACCTTTGGGAACCGGCAGTTCCTTGCCATGAACCAAACGCAAACATTCCGGTACCGGTCCATTAAGCAAAACAAAGCGTTCTGTACCGGTCCATTAGGCAAAACCATAAAATTTAAAGAAACTGTTTTCATATCATTTTAACATGCGCCTTTTTCGTGCAAAAACATTTTTATGCCGGCCCAACAGCCAAACGCAAACATTCCGCTACCGGTCCATTAAGCAAAACAAAAGGTTCTGTTACCGGCTCAGTAAACAAAACAAAACAACATTAAGACCCATGAGTTCTAACTTTTTGCAATCAACAGATCCTTCCACTGGTAACGTTACTTTTTCAGGCTTGGAACCATGAGTTTCAAGCTTTGGGAACCCGCAGTTCCTTACAATGAAAGCTGCTTAGCTTCGAAAACATAAATTCTAACTTCTGGGAACCGGCAATTCCTTGCAATGGTAACCTCTGGTTCCCAGGTTGGGAACCCTAAGTTTCAAGGTCTGGGAACCGGCAGTTCCTTGCCATGGTAACCTTTGGTTCCCACGTTGGCAACAGTGAGTTCCAACCTTTGGGAACCGGCAGTTCCTTGCCATGAACCAAACGGAAACATTCCGGTACCGGTGGTCCATTAAGCAAAACAAAGCGTTCTTTACCGGTCCATTAAGCAAAACCATAAAGTTGTAAAGAAAATGTTTTCATATCATTTTAACATGCACCTTCTACACTATGCTGTGTGTTGAGAAGGTAGGGACGCAGGACTCGCTTGAAGATGAAGTTGAAACAACAATGTTTAACCAAAGAAAACGCGGGGAGGAAATGAAAAACTGCCACCAGCAAAACGCCACTGAAACGACATCACTGAATCACATGAAAAAAACTGAGTTGAAATGACGACTGAATCTCACGTGGTTGAATTGCCAGCAAACGGAACACTCTCCCTTTTTCCAAAGCGGTGGTGAGATCCAGCGATCATCCAATGTCTCTGTGATATCCACGCCGGAACTCTCCAGCAGCCAGAATCTATGAAGTTGTTGCCACAAAGAAAGGGGACAAGTGCAGCAAACGTCTGAAGTCCCCCCACGCAAGTCGCTGGTATCACCCTCCCACCACAAAGGGTTGGGTAGGGCGGGTACCTGAAAATGAGCCATAGCTCTTCGAGTCATATCCATGTATTGCCGACTGTATGAACACAGCAATTGAAGGAAACTCTTTCGCAAGAAGTTGAGTTGAAACCATTGTGAATTCACATCTGAAACCAAACATCCAGAACAGTAACGACCCACATCAGTTGAACACAGGTTAAAAGACGAAGTCCACCAAAAATAACTTCCAGTCACCAAAAAGCATCTGTTGAAGTAACCCAAGCAAACTGCAAACTTCCAAAGTTGCACTGTTTCAAACTGTTGACAAATTTGACTCATGAAAACGGCCAGCAAGTGAATGTCCCCCAACTGTACCATCGACCAAAGCGGTCTCCAATCCAGTCCCCACGATCGCACGTAAAGGTCACCAAGCGTCAACCCACCCACCCGCCCAACACACAGCACCGTATAGACTCACGGGCGCGCCCTATGAAGCCTACACTATGCTGTGTGTTGAGAAGGTAGGGACGCAGGACTCGCTTGAAGATGAAGTTGAAACAACAATGTTTAACTAAAGAAAACGCGGGGAGGAAATGAAAAACTGCCACCAGCAAAACGCCACTGAAACGACATCACTGAATCACATGAAAAAAATCTGAGTTGAAATGACGACTGAATCTCACGTGGTTGAATTGCCAGCAAACGGAACACTCTCCCTTTTTCCAAAGCGGTGGTGAGATCCAGCGATCATCCAATGTCTCTGTGATATCCACGCCGGAACTCTCCAGCAGCCAGAATCTATGAAGTTGTTGCCACAAAGAAAGGGGACAAGTGCAGCAAACGTCTGAAGTCCCCCATTCGACAGAGACAGGTTGCAAACGAAGTCACCAAGGCGTTTTATCGTGCTTTCTCTTCTTCCCTTGAGGACCCTCTGCTGCATGCTGCTTGGCTTCCTCTCTCATCAAATCAAATTGTACCTTCGTCTGCCACAAACTATTCACCAAGCCCAGGTCTAAATCCGTTAGGCTGAGGGGGACACGATCATCCATGGAGAAGCTCGTGAAGATCTCGTTTGTCAACTCGTCAGCTTCTTGATTTTCTTCGCGAGGTCTCCACCTCAAATCAAGTGTAAGCCTCGACTTGGCTAAACACGACGATAACTCCATGTTGACCAACATCAGGGGCCACTTCGTGGTCGAGCGTTTGTTGGACAACAGGTCATTAGCCCTGTTGTCAGTGCCAGCAAAAATGGAGAACTGCATCGTACGCCTTGTCCTACCACCATCAAGCCATCCAAACGCCCTCAGGGCCGCCAATGACGCCAACAGCTCAGCGGACGTAGACGCCCACTGTGCCCCACCGCCGTCCGGCTTAAACAGGAACGGCACTTGCTCCCTTGAAAGGGAAATTGAAAACCATCTGCGCGTTGAAATCTCCCATCCTCCCAATACCATACTGGTGTCAGTGCATTTGGCATCTGTCCTGAATTGCTCCTCCGCAAACACTTTGGGCCTCTGTGCAGAAACCATAAACGACTCGTTCGACAGCTCTATTTGTATGTACTTCAAAGTCAAAATGACCGTATCCGGCAACTTGCCTACCAGTCCAGAAGATGCCACTGCACTCCATGCAAAGAGGGGTGCAAGGTGGGGCTTCAGCCAAACCAATAGCTGGGATACAAACCCCAGCCTTCCCAAAAATTCGCTGAAATCACGTGCAGCCACAACAAACTTCCTTTTCTCCAGACTCTGGATCCAATCCACTAACCAAGATCCCCTTCGGGTTGTAATGCCAACTTCGTTCCTATCGTAGCGCAAGTGGTATCCAACAAACTCTGAAGCAAAGCCGCCCCTGAACTTATGATATCCAAATGGCGTCCCCACAAGTTCGAACGCTAGGAGCCAGATCCATAACATTTCAAACTTTTGAGCCCCCGCGAATGCCCCATGCAAATCATCCACATAAACAAGGTGCCAGAAAATTGATGCCTGCATCACATGTCCAACAAACCTGCCAACACATGCAAAAAGTTTGGCCCACCAATGTGGCGCACTCGCCACGCCAAAAGTTCCTGTTTTGTTCACCCAAACAGTGTCGCTTTGTGAATCTGCTCTGCAGCACATGTATGGCCAGTCCTCCTCTCTAACTTTCACCAAACGATGGGCAGCCTTGATGTCGGCCGACACGCAAAAACATGCTTCCTTTGTCTCCACTGCCTCCCTCACAACAGATGCGACCTCTGCCGGTCCTGGGCACTGCAACTGGTCCTGGTACTTAATGGAGCGGTTGACCATCACAGAATGCGTGGCATCGTGGAGCGGTCTCACTCCACCGTCTGGCTTTGCTATGGCCGCCATTGAAGCGACCCTCAACCTGTCACCATACTTCTCCTTCAAAACACCAAGCTTGGATGGAAACATTCTACCCAAGGATTCCTCTTCTCGAAAATTCTGAACCAACTCATCGCTGGAAATTTGAGCAGA